TAAAATGATACATATGACACACTCATATTCTCTCTCCCCACCTCACTTCCTCACTTCGTTAATTTTGCGTATACTTGATGAGGTCCGTAAAAAAAAGCGTGTGAATTTCTTTTTCATTTTTCATTTCAGCTTTTGGAAGTAAAGTCTGATGATCCAGAACCCTGTTAAAGGGTTATGGTGAAATAACTTATTACATGGAATCTTAACGTGGTCTGTCTTTTTCAAAAAAATATATATATATATATATATATATATATATATATATATATATATATATAGTCTTTCCACTTCATGTCAACTGAGAACGTTAGCATATTAGTTATAACTGGAAACTGCAAAGTAGCAAATTTCCTTAAATCTGTGTTTGCTTCCTCGGTATTTTTGGCATCATCTGGACATTGTCAGTCATTTATCATTATTATTATTATTATTATTACAGTTAAGAGAAGATCAAGATTTAAGAAAAGTAAAGAAAAATCATAGTGTTTGCCAATGTTAAAGAATATTTTAACAGAATATCTGTCTTCTTCAAGTTGTATATAAAAAAAATCTTTTTCAAGTATAAAAATATATATCTACAAAAATTATAAGTCTTTGTACAAACGTTGTTTTTCTTGTAATGACTAACGGCTGTACTGGTAATCAACGCGCCAAAATGAATGGAACGCCGCCAATGTGAAGGCCTGCAACCAAAACATGCGTATAATGATGGTGATCTTGTTCATTTTGTAATTTTTCTTTAGTTGCTAAGGGGAATTAATCAAATAGCTTAGTATAAAACTTATGGAACTCTCCTGTCATTCTTTTCATTCCCCTAGGCCGGGAAGTTAATAATTTGTTTTTGTAACCATCCCCATGTGTTTTAAGGGCCAAAATGCCGGTAGATTCTGAATATTTTTTTACAGAATGTACACCTTATGATTCTTGTCGAAATTATATTTTCGTACCGGGAAAATTGTTCGAAAATAATTCTTCAAAAGCAATTATTCGAAAATCATTATTCGAATTGTAAATTGTTTGAATGAAAATTAATCGAAAGGACAATTATGCTAAATGATAATTATTCGAAATACCTATGTTTAAAATACGTATGTGATCTTGGTTTAAGAGGGTCAATGCTGATTTACCTAAAACTCATAATGCCCTTGAAGGATGGCATAGGGCTTTTTGAAGAAAGTGACATCCTATCATCCAACAATATGGAAATTCTTAGACGCTCTTAAAAGAAAAACAGGAAAAATTGATATTGCAAAGTAAGAGCAGGTTGCTAAAATATTAAGAGCACCAAGAAATACCGCGATGTAAATTGAAAACTTAAAAATTAGTGGCATTCTTTAACGGTTACTCTTTTGTATCATATAACTTAAGCTTATAAGGATTTTTTTCTTACTAAATTGTTTTATTAACGATATTTGTATTTCAAATAATTATCATTTGTTTAATTTTCCATTTTTATTGCAATGAAGAATTTTGCATTTGGAATAATTATCGTTTAGTATAATGGCCCTTTCTATTAATTTTCATTCAAACAATCTACAATTCGAATAAATGTTTTTCGAATAATTGTTTTCTAACAATTATTTTCAAACAATGTTCACGTAATCTATATTTTATTACAAAAGAGTGAAATTACATTTTATTACAAATGACAGAAATTTCGACAAGCATCTTAGGGTGCACATTCTGAAAAATATTGGTAGTGTTACGTCAATCATATTATTATTATTATTATTATTATTATTATTATTATTATTATTACAGTAATCTTCTTGCTACTAAGGACGACTGATAACTTTTGAAAATAGAATCAGGCTCGATAACCATTTCCGAACCCTTGGAAGAGTCTTTCGCCAAAGTGTCTCAGTCTGTTTATATCTTAATATTTTTCCATTTTTTTCTGTTTATTCGACCAATGTAAGGTCCACTCAAGGCAGATTGATTGATTGATTCATTTTCTACGGTTTATCAACCCTTTGCAGGTTATTTAAAGCCAGAAAATATTTTTACATTGTAAGAATTTGAGAAGGGGAGATAAAAATGGTTTATTCATGCAAGCTTTATTAATTAACCCATATCTGGGGGCGAAGAGTTGGATTCATACCTTTCACAAGTGTATTTGCGCGTAAGGGGATATAACGAACACAACTGAAATTGGAATTCATCCCCGAGAGAAATCCGAGCCATTGTTCGTTACACCCCTACCGCATTTCCAAGCTTATAGCACCTGTTACCCATCTAGGCACTGACAACGATGTTGCTTAAATTCGATGTTCGTATGGGAACCAATGTTTCAACGTGATATGTTCGTGATATGATCGTAACCCTCGTCGGTAGAGGACTCAGTTCAGTTATGTGTCATGTGGGATACACGCTTAGGCGATCATGTATCTTTAGATACATGACTGACGAGGCAAATTTTTCCCCGCAATACGTTGCCATTTCTTTCCCGGTCATAGGTGGAGGAGAAGAAAAAGAAGAAGATTCATACCTTTCTGTTGTGACCAAGTAAACGGTAAGTAATCACAAAAACCAAGTTTGCAGATATATTAAACAGTAAGTACACCAGAAGAGTATTACACGACTAATGAGAGTGTATCGAATGAACTAGCGTTCAATCTATTCACTGTTAATATTTAACAGCCCCCACCCACGGGATGTATGTGGCACAAAGCCAAGTTTACCGTGGGTTCTCCGAGCCGTAAGGCTTGGCCAAAAATATTTCTCTAGAATCCATATAAACGGTAGAAATTTGAAAATTGTTCGGGTTCCTCTCTACCCAAAGGCAGAGAGTTCGACAGCAGCTGCGAACAGTCACAGCCCGGTAGAACAATCTATTCACTGTTACCGTTTCCTTCTCTACTACTAAACTTATAGTAGGCGGAAGAGTCTAACATAGACTCTTAGAGGGAGGACACCACAACACTTTCCCAAGGGTATTAGCAGGTAAGTGAATGTAATGGATTCGACTGGATTCGAACTCGGGTCTCCGATTCCTCAATCCGAGCCGCTATCCATTACTCCACCGTGCCTTGTAAGAGGAAGGAAAGAGGAAGTAAAAAACACATTATGATGACGTGTAAAACAGATATCTTTTGTTCCTGGAGTTAAAGAGATCAAAATTTTAGTTCTCAGGGAATCATACTCGCGGGAGATTGTTCCACAGTCTCACAGTTCTGGGGGGAAAAAACTTGCTACTTATCAAAGATACAATGGTGATGGTTTGCCACCGTAAACATGTTGAAAGTCTGAATTTGTAGAATATAACTTGTCCGGACATCTGTCATATAGAAATAGTGATAGAGTAGTGAGCTTTTTTTTATATTTTGGTACATTTTCTGACTTTCTCGACTAAAATATTTTTATTCATTTTTTTATTAATTTTGCAGTGTAGCTTTGTATTTAATATGCATATAATATCCTTATTCTACCAATAATTGCAGAAATATATATCAAGAGTTATGATATATTTGCAATTTTCTTGGGTCTAGTTATATATTACTATTACTAGAAATGCATAATTTCACATGAGGATGTACTGATTACACGGTTCCTAATAACTGTTTGTCTCCTGTCATCACGATTATTTATTGCACCTGGTTGACATACTGTGTCTTCATACATATAATGTATGTTTTCAATGGACGAACAAGGCTAGTGTGTCTATATATATGTTTATGGGAAGCAATTGGTGTCCAACTCACGTCGAGAACAGTTCATTACAACCTTCTCCTTATATATAATACTAACCGAATTATCCGCACCTTGCTGCGCGTCACAATTGTTTTTTGTTTTGTTTTTAAAGAAAATGATGGTTGATTTTAAATCATTGTTATAATTTGTGGAGAAAATGATGCATTACTCAATGATCTTGTGATGTGACCTCCATCTTCTGGCTTTCTCCTTCTATATTTTGGATAAGCGTCACTCCCTTGTTCAAATTTAATTTAAATCAAAGGGAAATTTTTTTAGCATGGTGTTTGTGCAAAAAACTACTTGATCTGACCCCTTTGATATGTATTTCATGCAATACTTGATTGAATGAATTGATGAACAGATTTCAACATTGAGATGACAGTTGAATTGTCGCAACAAATATGTATTGTAAAGCATTACCCACTGATTGACGATTTCTTGCTCAACTTGACGTCTGTATTGTTTCATTTTGATCTTGCCGCTGTGACCTTCATCTTCTGGCTTTCTCCTTCTATATTTTAGATAGGAGTCATTCCCTCGTTCAAATTTAAATTTAATTTAAATCAAAGGGAGAAAATTTCAGTGGGGGGGGGGGTGCCCCGACCCAGAAACCAACTTTCATCAAAATGAAATATACTGATCCAAGTACCCTAGGAGTCATACCCTTGTTCAAATTTAAATTTCATCTATATGAAAGAGAAAAATATTTTCAGGAGGGTGGTTGTGCCCCACAGGGACTCCCTTTGATCAAAAGGAAATATACTTATCCAAGTACCCTGGATAATATAGTTTCAGAATGTATATGGTTATGGGGATTGTACAGTTTTATACTTAGAAATATCTTCAATATTTTTACTTTGTGAACAGACAAACAATAACGGCTTCATTACACGAAAAAAAAAAAACAAACAAGAGTACAAAGTTGAAATAATAAGCAATAATAACACGAGATTTTAATGAAGTTTTTATTCATGTTATCCTAAAACTCAGTACATTTTGGCTACGGATAACGCATAGAACTTAGACTGCAGGTGTGGAAACCACAAATTCGAGTATTATATTTTTCTTCTTTCTTTTAAAAGGAGACAAGAGGGATGCCAGAAAAGCAACCCTTGAAATCAAATTTTAGGGTAAACGGTGGTTCTTGGTTGTTCAACAACTAAAAGTCATTCAAAACATCATGAATGTGAGAATAGAATGCAGGGTGACGTCAAGAAGATGAGCTGCAGCCAAGGGGGTAAAAAAAAATATTGACCCCCACCTATCCCACAAAGATCCGTTGGGGATTTGTTGGCCCGCTCAACAACCTTTCGTTTTGCGGGTGCTGACAGATTAGGTTAGGATTCAGGCCTGAAAAGATACAAGAAAAAAATAGATGTGAGGAAATCATTTTAGATAAGATGTCTAGATTAAAAATAACAGGAACAAAAACTTAAAATATACACTTTTCCTTCACTATATCAAAGTAGAACGTCGAGACTAAGCCTTCCGTAAGTCGGAATCGAATAAAACGAAGAAGTAATTGGTATTAATTTATATGAAACTAACATTTGAGCGTCCAAACTTAAAATATACGACTATTGATTGATCTTTATGTGTTTAACGGCGTATCAACTCCCTGTGGGTATTTAATTTTCTTGGGAGCTTTGAAGAAATAAAAATATGATATATGTTGTTCTGCTTTCACAATTACGCAGCTTTTATGCATATACATGGTTATAGGCACATTATTACTAGAAGCGATGATATGTGTTTTATGTTATAGTTTTGTTGAAGTTATATTTTGAAATACAGCTTGATTTCTTTCAGAAATTGTAAGATATAAGGATTAATGTCATGAAAAAGTTTTATCATGTTGCTTGTTTGGTTGATGTTGTTTAGTACTACATTAGCCTTTATGGATTATTTAATGCCGAAATCTAAATATTTTGAATATAATTTTACGGCTTCAACTATATATAAAATACATGATATATCAGAGAAGCTAAGCATCTAGATGTGAATGAGTGCGAACTGAATCACACAATAGAGTAGAGAATAGCGGTCCCTATAGTAATAGAGGATAGACTAGAAATGACGATTCGTATAGTATAGAGGATAGACTAGGAATAGCGATCAATTAGACACACGCTACCTTCCTGTGTTTGCTCACTGGCGATCTATGTTCAAACTCAAGTGTCGACAGTGACACTTTATTCCTATGCAATAATTATTTAGTTTGTTTTATTTTCGTATTTTCCAATGAAACATGACCCAGTGCACATGTTAGTACTTCGGATGTACATTCCACAAAGTCGTTCCTTGCAGATTGATCACAGATTCTCGATTGGATTTAAATCAAGAGAGTTTCCGAGCCAGTCTATAGTACTTTGATTTGCTCACTCGTAAGGCTTGCCAGTGTGTCCGTGCGGTATTAAAATTTTAGTGCGCTTCATTGGAGTAACATCTATCGCAGACGTAGGACAACTAATCGACAGTCGAGACAATAGTGTCTGGATGGGATAAAAATCTTATGCAATCACGGATGACGCAATATTTTTCAAGGACAAACAAATTCTATCATACACCCCGAAAATAAATTAACCACTGTAAATGACCTAATCTGAGGAAAAAATCGAAATCGATTACACCCTGTCACTCCAGTGGGTCTAAAACTGTCCGTATTTTAAATGAAAAGAAACTAAAGCGGTCGTTTCAATTAATTTGCGCAAGGCTGTATGTTATTCTGCTTTCACAACTGAATACATGCTAGATAATCGGCTTTTGGGTATATACATGTTGTGTGGGCATGATTACCAGCGTCGGTGATATCTGTGTTTTATATTGTGGTTTTGTTGAAATAATATTTTGGAATACAGTTTGATATCTTTAAGAAATTGTAGGATATTATATGGATTAATTTCATGAAAGTTCTTTCATGTTGGTTGTTTGATTTTGTTTACCAGCATATCAACACCTCTATGGGTTATTTAAAGCCAAAATCTAAGTATTTTGGACACAATTTTATGACGTCAACTAAATATGTTTTAAAAGCAGTTGTCCGCCTTCAACTATAGATAAAATTGTTGGTGAATAATAATTGTTTTAATATGTATTGTTGATAATTCTACTTGGTAATGTATTGTTGGTAATTTTACTATAAATATGTATGATCGGTCATTTTTTATATAAAAATGTATTGCTGATATTTTTATACTTTCATAGTATTTTGGTTTTGTTTACGGGATTCCCTATTTACCCACAGCTGGGGCCATAACAGGTGCTACCACCACAGATCTGGGTGGATCTGGGAAAAACAGTAGATAAAAGTTGGTTTCACGGTCCTCAAAAGCCGGATGTAGTTTATCGTCATACAATGGATTAATATAAGCTTGTGTGAGATTTGGCTTCGGATTGAAAATGCCGGAAAAGTTACAAAAGAGTATGATGCAATAAAGAACGGACACCTGATTAATAAGTTTTGGACACGCTGTCTAGGAAAGGAAAACTATAGCAAAATTACCAATACAATTTTTCTTTACTATCTGAAAGTGTTACGATGAGACCTTCGGTAAGCCGAAATGGCGTAATACATAGAATTACCTTTATCTGGAAAACTTTTCTTGAGGGTCCACAAACCTCAAATATAATCTTGCGTAGAGTTCTTTTATATACTAAAGTTCCCCCAAAACAAATTTCAAGAGCCACTCAAAGTAGAGCGTTGCGGTCTGGTGTTGTATGAGCGTAAGAAGTTCATTGGGCTATGTAGGAAAGATAACGGTTAACCCTAGACTTGAAGAGGTCAAGATTGTAATGATCGGGAAAACATCCTGCCGGAAGTCTGTTCCACAAAACAAAATGTCTTGGGAAGAAGCTGACCGACTGGAACTTCCTTCTTGCCATAGGAATACGAAGGGAATGCGGATGATTCACTCTTGTGTACGTGGCATGGCGGGTCCCAGTTGTAGAGGTCAGAATTTGTGGGACTAAGCAATGTCGTTGAAATCGCGATAGAGAAGCAAGTGGCTTGTGAATTTTCGTCTGTGGGAAAGGGGTTGTAGAGTGTAAAATAATTCATCAACCACAAGGCCGCGGGGACACTTTTAAACTCAAGACAGGCAAGTAAATACTGTGAAGCTCCAGTCCAAATATCGCAGCAATGATCCATTTTCTTCGTTTGATTTGTAAAGATAGCGTATAACAAGTTTGTTGAAATGATTACAGAAAAATATTTCAATTTTGAAAAGAGAAAGTTTGAAAGCTGTTTGGAATGTTGTGGGAGAACTGCACAATATAATTTTTTACACACTATAGTTCACTCGAGGCTCGAAATCCACTCAAGGTAGATGGTTACTCTTAAAAGGATTATGGTGAGTGACGTTTGTGATATAAATGAAAAGAGGAAAGATATGAAGATTATTTTATTAATCCGACATATTTTTATCACCTTAAATGTTATTTTTTGTAGATACCCATTATTTAATTAGACGCCCCGTTTATATTAAAGAGTATTTTATTTTGTCTACTGGCCTGAACATTCGAGAAATCTTATTAAAGAACAATGCGCGCACAGGTAGGCAATGTTTCTCGAAAGTCCAGTCCTGGAGACGAAATAAAATACTGTTTAAAAAGAAAACGGAGCGTCTACTCAAATATGAGCATCCACTAAAAATAACGTTTAAAGTAATAAAAATATGTTGAATTAATAAATAAAAATCCATTACTTCTTTAGAAATAGATTTCTTATAACAGACTCTTTTCAACAAACCTTCTGAATGCCGGTCGTATTATTAACGTTAAAATTATCGTAAGATAATTCCTTCGTTTTTTAATTGGTTAGTAAGTTAGCACGTACGTTACGCCTTTCTGTTACCTCAGATAAACACTGGATCATTCCTGTTTGATTGCGAGAATTGAGAGAAGAAAAGATATATCAAATGCGCTGTTTTGTTTTAGGGAAAGTGTTGTGGTAGGATCCACCTAATTTGCGTAGTGGAGTACCGACCATATAAATATGGTTGGTACCGGGAAGAGAGTGAGAGACTCTGCCCGACTGCGACTCGGTCAACACATTCTCCAGGAACGGTCTTACCAGGAATATACAAAAGACTATATGTAAATATTGTATACACTTTCTTGTTTCAATACATTTTGTTCTAAGTACCTTTTGTGTTGCATTATTATTCCATGCATTAGTCAAGTTTCAACAGAAAGGAAAGGAAAAAAAAGAAAGAAAGAAAGAACGAACGAAATTAATTAAAATTAAAGAAAGAAAGAAAAGAAAAATATAGGAGGCGATAGCACTTTCAGGTTTTTAATGTCTGGTGATATTTTTTTCGAAAATGTATAGCTGGTTATTGTTTTTTTTTTAAATATATTGCTGGTAATAATCTATTGTTGTTAATAATTTTTTCTTCAAAAATTTATTGCTGATAATAATTTTTTACTAAGTATTTCTGGTATTAAAATCTATTTTTACTCTTTCGTAGTGTTTTGACTCCAGTTTGGGGATAATTATTTGCCCATAGCTGGGATACTAACAGGTGCTACCACTCCGGGTCAGGGTGGACCTGGGAAAACCAGCAATTAAGAGGTGGTTCCACGTTCCTCAAAGCCTCCTGATCAGAGGCCTTGCTACTGGATGTAGTTTATCGTCATACCCAGGACGATAATAGCCTACATTCATATTTATGATTGTTATTACCATAAAATTCTTAATCTGACATTTAACAAACAATAAGGGAAGTTCTATAGGTAATTTTTGTCGTCCAACTCGCAAGGAGTTTATTCAATTTTTTTGTTTGTTTGTTTAACTGCATATCAACTCCTTGTGGGTTATTTAATGCCGAAATTTAATTTTCTTAGCAGTATTAGTAATTTCTTTTACAAAAATATATTGCTGAGAATATTTTTTTTATAAAAATGTAATTATTTTTTTCAAAAATGTATTGCTGGTAATTTTTTATTATAAGAAAATCTATTTTTATACTTTCATAGTGTTTTGACACCAATTTCAGGGGTTAACTATTTGCCCATAGTTTGGACCCTAACAGGCGCTACCACCCTGAGTCAGAGTGGATATGGAAACAACGGCAATTAAGAGGTGGTCCTGCGCTTCTCAAAATCTCCCGATAAGTGAGGTCTTGCTTCCGGATGCAGTTTATCGTCATACATAGGACATGAGCTTATTCAACCATTAAGTTAAGAATTTAAGTTTTGTGATGTGAGAACGCTCACTCGTTGTAACTTCCGTTAGGTCAACGAATGTTCGTCATCACTTCCGAAAATATTCTTTCTTTCTTTTCCTTTCTTTTCGTAACACAGGTACTGGTAATAGTAACGCCTTCAAATAATACTCGCACTAGTAATACTAGTTCAAATAGTAATCGCCAAATAGTACAATGAACAGTACAGAGAAATACTATAGTGAATAGAGTAGAGAATAGCGATCAGTATATTAATAGAGGATAGTGTAGAAGTAGTGAGATGTTCACTACCGCCCCACACAGACGGATGCGACACAAGTTAATTTGCGGTATCCAGGCTTGTAGGCTCAGGCAAATATTCCCCCATAGATCCCATAAAAACGGGGTCGGATAGCTGTGTACTACCCCGGACAAAACTCTGCCCTTCGGTACAGCCTCGTCTGGTTTCTCCTCTGCTCGGAGGCAGAGAGTTTAACAAGCACACTTCTGAAGTAATTCGCGGAGTAATCAAGTATAGAAGTAGTGATGATATTCACTAACCGCCCCACGCGGTCGGATGTGGCACAAGGCCTAGTCTATTGTGGGGTAACCAAGCTCGTAGGCTCGGGCAAAAATATCCTTTAGACCACGTAAAAACGAGGTCGGGCAGCTGTCTACCACTCTAGACGAGACTCTGCCCTTCGGTATAGCCTCGTCTGGTTTCCTCTCTACACGGAGGCAGAGTGTTTGGCAAGCACATTTCCGAAGTAATCCGAATAGTGATCAAGTGTAGAAGTCGTGATGACGCTATCGTCACGCTACTTGCTATTTATTTCATTTTCTTGATGATCACGTGATCTACTTAATTAAATAATGGAATCGCCCGTCTTTGCTGCCTGGCGATCTATGTTCAAACTACAATGTCGGCAGTGACACTTACTCCTATACAACACACGGAAAATTTGAATACGAAAACGTCCTTACCTGGTACACTTGTAAGCGTTCTTAACTCCGACTGGAACGCAGAGGAGGTTTTCGAAGTGAACGGGTTTGTTGGCCACACCATAGGGTAATAAATCTTCTCTTTTCTCACTTTCAGCTGTAAATTAAATTAAAAAAAAAATTAATTATCTTAAAACGAAAAAGTTAATTATCTTGCATAATTTATAAATTTACAAAATGGCCTGAAGTTTGCGTTCAAGCACAATACAGACGGTCACCGCTCGTTGTTGTCCTCAATGTCCGCATTTATATTTGAATAAGCTCTATCATTGATACAATGCACTTTAACCCATAAATATAGCATATCATAAAACTTTTGCTTATCATAAATTTATAAGATATGAGGATTAACCACAGTCAACTCACTTTAACCAAACGACTTCTCACTTTACATAGACGCATTCTCCAATCGCCCAACCAGCATAATCAAACAAATCCCACTCTCAAACAATTGCAGATTATCCGACAACTCGTCAATTGAAAATATTCAGTAAAGCCTGTTTTTGCTGGGTGGGATGAGGCCGGAATATTTACGTCTAACAGCACAAAAATATCCAACACAAATACAAACATCATATGATTCAATAATTCATTTTTTTATATTAAAATGTAAAAACAAATGTAGATAAAATATTCAAGTTATTTTTATGCTACTGTACACCCAATTCAAGGCCCAAGAGCCAATCAAGACTGAGTGTTACTGAATGAGGTTGTTGTAAGGGAATAAAGACGGAAGTAAGAAAAGCATATTATGAAAATATGTGGGATGATGTGCCTGGACTTGAAAAGATTAAGATCGTGGTGATCGGGAAAGCACTCACTCAGGAATCTGTTCCAGAAAGTAAGGAATTTGGGGGGGGGAGTAGGTTTCTCAGTGGAGCTTTCTCTTTATCAATGGAATACGATGAGAATGGTGGGTCCTAGTCAACAAATATTTCCCAAAATCAAGCAAACTGAACCAAAGATTCTATAGAATTACACTAAAATTGAGTTATAGCTGAACCAATCTGTTGTGGGGCTCTACTCCTTTTACATAAGATGGACTCGTCCAAAGTATACTTATACTGACAGAGAGAATACCTGCGGTTGAGATACGTGGAGATACGTGGAGATACGTTGAGATACGTGGAGATACGTTGAGATACGTTGAGATACGTGGAGATACGTTGAGATACGTTGAGGCAGGTTGAGAGATACAGAGACAGGATGTTCTCAGAGAGTTATACAAGAGTCCAGAGAGAGAGAGAGAGAGAGATTACATTACTTTATTTACAGAGACTTGTACATATACTTTCTACTAATCCGC